GGTCAGGGCGTCGTGGGGGAGGTCAAGGTGTCGTGGGGGAGGTCAGGGCGTCGTGGGGGAGATCTAGGCGTCGTGGGAGAGGTCCAGGCGTCGTGGGGGAGGTCAGGGCGTCGTGGGGGAGGTCAAGGCGTCGTGGGGGAGGTCAAGGCGTCGTGAGGGAGGTCAGGGCGTCGTGGGGGAGGTCAAGGCGTCGTGGGGGAGGGCAGGGCGTCGTGGGGGAGGTCAGGGCGTCGTGGGGGAGGTCAAGGCGTCGTGGGGGAGGGCAGGGCGTCGTGGGGGAGGTCAGGGCGTCGTGGGGGAGGTCAGGGCGTCGTGGGGGAGGTCCAGGCGTCGTTGGGGAGGTCAGGGCGTCGTGGGGGAGGTCAAGGCGTCGTGGGGGAGGTCAGGGCGTCGTGGGGGAGGTCAGGGCGTCGTGGGGGAGGTAAAGGCGTCGTGGGGGAGGTCAGGGCGTCGTGAGGGAGGTCGAGGCGTCGTGGGGGAGGTCAAGGCGTCGTGGGGGAGGTCAGGGCGTCGTGGGGAAGGTCCAGGCGCCGTGGGGGAGGTCAGGGCGTCGTGGGGGAGGTCAGGGCGTCGTGGGGGAGGTCAGGGCGTCGTGGGGGAGGTCAGGGCGTCTTGGGGGGAGGTCAGGGCGTCTTGGGGGAGGTCAGGGCGTCGTGGGGGAGGTCAGGGCGTCGTGGGGGAGGTCAGGGCGTCGTGGGGAAGGTCAGGGCGTCGTGGGGGAGGTCAGGGCGTCGTGGGGGAGGTCAGGGCGTCGTAGGGGAGGTCAGGGCGTCGTGGGGGAGGTCAAGGCGTCGTGGGGGAGGTGAAGGCGTCGTGGGGGAGGTCGAGGCGTCGTGAGGGAGGTCAAGGCGTCGTGGGGGAGGTCAAGCCGTCGTGGGGGAGGTCAAGGCGTCGTGGGGGAAGTTAGGGCGTCGTGGGGGAGGTCAAGCCGTCGTGGGGGAGGTCAAGGCGTCGTGGGGGAGGTCAGGGCGTCGTGGGGGAGGTCAAGCCGTCGTGGGGGAGGTCAAGCCGTTGTGGGGGAGGTCAAGCCGTCGTGGGGGAGGTCAAGCCGTCGTGGGGGAGGTCAAGGCGTCGTGGGGGAGGTCAAGCCGTCGTGGGGGAGGTCAAGGCGTCGTGGGGGAGGTCAGGGCGTCGTGGGGGAGGTCAAGCCGTCGTGGGGGAGGTCAAGGCGTCGTGGGGGAGGTCAAGCCGTCGTGGGGGAGGTCAAGTTGTCGTGGAGGAGGTCAAGGCGTCGTGGATGGGGTCAAAGGGTCAAGGCTCCCCCCCCCCTCCCACTAACCAGATGAGAACAAAGGTTAAAGGGAAGGTATGCATCAACGTCGCTTAGGTCCTTCTAGCACTCAACCTCCACACAGGCTCGGGCAAGGACCATACTGGTGCTCAACCATACTGGTGCTCAACCATACTGGTGCTCAACCATACTGGTGCTCAACCATACTGGTGCACAACCATACTGGTGCTCAACCATACTGGTGCACAACCATACTGGTGCACAACCATACTGGTGCACAACCATACTGGTGCTCAACCATACTGGTGGTCAACCATACTGGTGCTCAACCATACTGGTGCTCAACCATACTGGTGCTCAACCATACTGGTGCTCATCCATACTGGTGCTCAACCATACTGGTGCTCAACCATACTGGTGCTCAACCATACTGGTGGTCAACCATACTGGTGGTCAACCATACTGGTGCTCACCATACTGGTGCTCAACCATACTGGTGCTCAACCATACTGGTGCTCACCATACTGGTGCTCACCATACTGGTGCTCAACCATACTGGTGCTCAACCATACTGGTGCTCAACCATACTGGTGCTCAACCATACTGGTGCTCACCATACTGGTGCTCAACCATACTGGTGCTCAACCATACTGGTGCTCAACCATACTGGTGGTCAACCATACTGGTGCTCATCCAAACTGGTGCTCAACCATACTGGTGCTCAACCATACTGGTGCTCAACCATACTGGTGCTCAACCATACTGGTGCTCAACCATACTGGTGCTCAACCATACTGGTGCTCAACCATACTGGTGCTCAACCATACTGGTGCTCAACCATACTGGTGCACAACCATACTGGTGCTCAACCATACTGGTGCACAACCATACTGGTGCACAACCATACTGGTGCACACCCATACTGGATACTGGTACTCAACCATACTGGTGCACAACCATACTAATGCACAACCATTCAAATCATACACTATCACACTGTATTCACTCATTAACAGTCGTGCAGAGTTGTGGTATATTCATATTGCTTGTTACTGTATAATTGGTGACAAGTTATACAGTGTTGGTTGACTTTCATGTAGAGTATTACTGCGGCACCACACGCTGTGACCTTGGTGGTGTTTGTGTGTAATTGAAATTGAAATTGAAATTGAAATAAGTTTGAGGTAAAATACACACAAAGGGATGAGGTAGCTCAAGCTATTCTCACCCCGTTCAGTACATCGTGTTAATACATACATAGACACACATCACAAATGTGTGTAAATCCACTGGAGTTACCTCCCTGCCCGCCCGTCTCTCTCTGACCTCAGTCGTCCCTTGACAGGACGCTTGACAAGTTTGTGAGGCAGGATTTGCCAGCTCTAAAACCATGCTGGTGTTGTGTTTTCAAGGTCCCTTTATCTCCAGATGTTCTACTAGACCTTTTCTGTTGTGATCTTTTCTGTCAGTTTGCATTGTGTGGTAGTAAGGGCGACAGACAAGTCTACCGTCAATTTAATGCCTCCTGTCTGTTTGTTTTGACTACTAGGGGCGGAGGGAGTGGGGAGTAGGTGGCTGTGCTAGCCTCTTCGCCTTCTTTCTCTCTGCTTCATTTCGTCTGTTGTGTAAACCTCTGTGTGTGTGTTGTTGCTGATCTGTTTTTCTGTTAGTGTGTCTGTCTTTACCGTGCTCGACCCAGTGTCTGTCTCCACCTTTCTCATTCTGTTTGTCTTTTCGCTCTATGCCTCTCTCTTTGTCTTATAATCAAACTCATATAAGCTACCATAGCCGTGTGTCCGCCGACGGGAGGAGCCTACCTGTGTGAAATATTACGAAATTAAAACAGTTTCCCGTTTTCCTTGAGAAGAGAGGCGGCGCGGGGGTGTGGGAACCCCCCCCCCCCCACCCCTGTGTGGGAGGGTCGACGTCTGTTTTTCGTGGTTCGATTACCGATTATATACAGGTATATATTCGAACAGGTACATATATTAAATATATTATATTTATTCAGTGTGTATAATCAAAGTTATAATGTAGCGGGTGTGAGTAAGAGTCATTGACAAGGTTTACCTCAGTCACTCAAGGTCCACTTCAGAAAACGTATCCACACTGTCTTATCCGCACAAGACGTTTAAACATTGATATCCTAATCCTCTTTCCAGTCACCAAATCTTTTAATAGGTAGGTTCGCACGCATGTACCCCAAGGTTTGCGCGCGCACGCACGCACACACTTATTAGAAAGAATTTAAAAATATATTAGAAAGTTATATTTTATATTAAAATATATTAAATATATCAGAAAGGCAGATATCTAAATATATTAAAAAGGCAGATATTAGAAAGAACTTTTTAAGTGTCAGAGTGGTTGACAAATGGAATGCATTAGGCAGTGATGTGGTGGAGGTTGACTCCATACACAGTTTCAAGTGTAGATATGATAGAGCCCAATAGGCTCAGGAATCTGTACACCAGTTGATTGACGGTTGAGAGGCGGGACCAAAGAGCCAGAGCTCAACCCCCGCAAGCACAACTAGGCGAGTACAACTAGGTGAGTACACAAACACACACCAAACCTTTCTTCCTTAAAAATTTATTGTTTTCAATAAACTTGGGCCCTTCTAAAGTACCTTCAATAGACACTTTGAGTACATAAAGGCTTTATTACACGTTAAAGTATAAGATAAAATCATGCCCCCTAAAATGATTGTACTCACGGCAACTAATGGACTGAACGTACAAAAATAGACCGTTGCTCTCAACAATGCTTACGTTTAGTACTATTCGTGGAGGCCCGAAACAAAATTTCAAGCATTATCAGGCCTAGTTGAGCACATATATGTACCATGTTAGGCCTGGGATTGCTGGGACAGGTTAGGATCCTTAGGTTTCTGCCTGGCAGGTATGTGGCATTTAGGTTAGTTGAGAAATACAAAAGGAATTTATTTCGGCGGCAACGGTGAAGTTTGTTGGGTCGACTAAGTGTGGCTGCGAGTACTGGCAGTACTGGAAGACGTGCTTCATGAAATATATATAAGGTGGTGCGTAGCGCTAGGCTCCTGGCAGTGCTAGGCTCCTGACAGTGCTAGGTTCCTGGCAGTGCTAGGCTCCTGACAGTGCTAGGCTCCTGACAGTGCTAGGCTCCTGACAGTGCTAGGCTCCTGACAGTGCTAGGCTCCTGACAGCGCTAGGCTCCTGACAGCGCTAGGCTCCTGACAACGCTAGGCTCCTGACAGTGCTAGGCTCCTGACAGTGCTAGGCTCCTGACAGTGCTAGGCTCCTGACAGCGCTAGGCTCCTGACAGCGCTAGGCTTCTGACAGTGCTAGGCTCCTGACAACGCTAGGCTCCTGACAGTGCTAGGCTCCTGACAGTGCTAGGCTCCTGACAGCGCTAGGCTCCTGACAACGCTAGGCTCCTGACAGTGCTAGGCTCCTGACAGTGCTAGGCTCCTGACAGTGCTAGGCTTCTAACAGTGCTAGGCTCCTGACAGTGCTAGGCTCCTGACAGCGCTAGGCTCCTGACAGTGCTAGGCTCCTGACAGCGCTAGGCTCCTGACAGCGCTAGGCACCTGACAGTGCTAGGCTCCTGACAGCGCTAGGCTCCTGACACCGCTAGGCTCCTGACAGTGCTAGGCTCCTGACAGCGCTAGGCTCCTGACAGCGCTAGGCTCCTGACAGCGCTAGGCTCCTGACACCGCTAGGCTCCTGACAGCGCTGCTGCTAACATTACCGCACAGTCGTGACGTGCTGAGCGAGCAGTCAGCACCTACCTGGTGGCGTAGTTGGCGCACTCGTCTTTAGTGGTCCGCCAGGGGAAGTGTGAGGGGCGGGAGTAGTCATACAGCAGCAGGAGGGGCGGGTGGGGGCCTGGGCCCAGTGGCTGCCCTTCACCGCCGCCTTCAGGAGCGGTGACGAGCCCTCGGGGACCCGCTGGAGGGAGCGTGGCGCCCCTTGTCGTGTTTTTAGAGGTCTTGACTGCGTTAACTCCTGCAGGGGAATCGATACCACGACGTTGGTAGACTTGTACGGTGTTGTGACCCCGTGAGCGCCGCCGGGGCGCCCGATGCTCCGCCCTCGGGTGCTTCCCGCTCACAGTTTGTTTGAGAGGAAATGATTTTGGTTTGTGTTTAACACTGTAAGTTCTGTCGTATATATTTTGATACACTGGGGACAGCTTTTCGTGATTGTCCCTGACATTGTCACTGAGTGTCCTGGGCCGCCTGTCACTGAGTGTCCTCGGCCGCCCGTCACTGAGTGTCTTGGGCCGCCCGTCACTCAGTGTCCTGGGCCGCCCGTCACTGAGTGTCTTGGGCCGCCCGTCACTCAGTGTCCTGGGCCGCCCGTCACTGAGTGTCTTGGGCCGCCCGTCACTCAGTGTCCTGGGCCGCCCGTCACTCAGTGTCCTGGGCCGCCCGTCACTGAGTGTCTTGGGCCGCCCGTCACTCAGTGTCCTGGGGCGCCTGTCACTGCTGTAAGTGGCTGCCTTCAGCACCGCCATCCTGACCATGTGCTGGGCGCCGTCACGGGCCACTATGACGTCTCTGACGTAGTGTGACTTCTCCGGCAGCTCCCTCGCTAGGTCTTGGCGCGAGCTCTTCCTGGTGAGGTGGTAGGGTCCCGGGGCGGAGTAGGTGTGGAGGACCACCAGGAGCACGAGGGAGAGCCCCGTGGAGGCGCTGACGGCGGCCACCAGCCGCTGCTTCCTCCTCAGGTGGCGACAGCGGCTACAAGGGCTGCGGAGACCCTGTGCGGGCAGGTGGAGTAAGGCCAGCAGGGGGCTGGTGGGGGCGCCGCCCCGCCGGCCTCCTGGTCTCTCCAGCATGCTCACCACCTGCACACTATGCACCACGCCTCCCCGCCTCCTCCACCACACGCTCCACTGTGCCAGGAACACGATAATATTCCCGCTCGCTCGCCCCTCCACATTGTCGCCGCCGCCACACTCACAACTCACAAGCAATTGAACTTTATTATTAATAATTGCGATGTTAGCATAATTTCCATCAGTATATACACTATTTTTTTCTTTAAATTATCACTTCTCTGACACCAAGTCACTGATAATAATGATATCTTGTCACTTGACAGGCACTGACATGCTTGCCCGAGGGCAAGAAGCAGGTGTGGAGGCAGCCAAGCTGACACACACCTGTCCACCTCCCCGCATTAATCCCCTCTGGATCTCTCGTTTTCTAATCCAGGAACCACAGGTAGGCGTCCTACTGGAACCGCCATCTTCTGCCTCACCTAACATCTCTCGACCAATCAGAGCGCAGCTTTAACTTCAGAGATCACGCACTGTGGGATTTGATTGGCTAAAGCCCTCGACCAGCGATCAATTAGGACGAAATCGGTGACATTTATAGTGGGGGACGAAGAGACCCTTTTTCCCTTCAGCGACTGCCGCGGCGCTCGACTTCTGCAACTTTGTGCAATGTTGCTGTTGTTGAGCTGCGACGGCCCTCAGTGTTGCAGCTGGCAGTGCAGGCACCAGGGAGCGAGGCGTGCCGAGTGCCTAGTGAGAGGAGGGGAAGTGAGAGCTGGCACTAGAGGGGTGAGAGGGACAGAGAGAGAGAGAGAGAGAGAGGGAGGGAGAGGGAAGAGCTATCGTACCTCTCTTCAAGATCAAACGTGCAGAGAGCGAACCAACCAACGAACGAACGCTACCCCTCTGCTTTCACACACGCACACACGCAGGCGCGCCGCCAACAAACGCACACGTACGTTGTTTATGCGCCTCGTGTGCACCAAGAGATGGAATGCGCAGTGTAGGAATAACGAGAGACAAGCTACATGATATTAGGTTCCACGTGGGTTAGTCGATCAATACCTGGTGCAGCAGGCTTGCACTGTGGCAAGGTGGTGACTGGCAGGTGTGTAGGGGTGGTGGGGTGACTGGCAGGTGTGTAGGGGTGGTGGGGTGACTGGCAGGTGTGTAGGGGCGGGGGTGTTAACTGGCAGGTGTGTAGGGGTGGTGGTGGTGACTGGCAGGTGTGTAGGGGCGGGGGTGGTGACTGTCAGGTGTAGGGGTGGTGGTGGTGACTGTCAGGTGTAGGGGTGGTGGTGGTGACTGTCAGGTGTAGGGGTGGTGGTGGTGAGTGTCAGGTGTAGGGGTGGTGGTGACTGTCAGGTGTAGGAGTGGTGGTGGTGAGTGTCAGGTGTAGGGGTGGTGGTGACTGTCAGGTGTAGGGGTGGTGGTGGTGACTGTCAGGTGTAGGGGTGGTGGTGACTGTCAGGTGTAGGGGTGGTGGTGACTGTCAGGTGTAGGGGTGGTGGTGGTGACTGTCAGGTGTAGGGGTGGTGGTGACTGTCAGGTGTAGGGGTGGTGGTGGTGACTGTCAGGTGTAGGGGTGGTGGTGACTGTCAGGTGTAGGGGTGGTGGTGACTGTCAGGTGTAGGGGTGGTGGTGGTGACTGTCAGGTGTAGGAGTGGTGGTGGTGACTGTCAGGTGTAGGGGTGGTGGTGGTGACTGTCAGGTGTAGGGGTGGTGGTGACTGTCAGGTGTAGGGGTGGTGGTGGTGACTGTCAGGTGTAGGGGTGGTGGTGACTGTCAGGTGTAGGGGTGGTGGTGACTGTCAGGTGTAGGGGTGGTGGTGGTGACTGTCAGGTGTAGGGGTGGTGGTGGTGACTGTCAGGTGTAGGGGTGGTGGTGGTGACTGTCAGGTGTAGGGGTGGTGGTGGTGACTGTCAGGTGTAGGAGTGGTGGTGGTGACTGTCAGGTGTAGGAGTGGTGGTGGTGACTGTCAGGTGTAGGGGTGGTGGTGGTGACTGTCAGGTGTAGGGGTGGTGGTGGTGACTGTCAGGTGTAGGGGTGGTGGTGACTGTCAGGTGTAGGGGTGGTGGTGACTGTCAGGTGTAGGGGTGGTGGTGACTGTCAGGTGTAGGGGTGGTGGTGGTGACTGTCAGGTGTAGGAGTGGTGGTGGTGACTGTCAGGTGTAGGAGTGGTGGTGGTGACTGTCAGGTGTAGGGGTGGTGGTGACTCTCAGGTGTAGGGGTGGTGGTGACTGTCAGGTGTAGGAGTGGTGGTGGTGACTGTCAGGTGTAGGAGTGGTGGTGGTGACTGTCAGGTGTAGGGGTGGTGGTGACTGTCAGGTGTAGGGGTGGTGGTGACTGTCAGGTGTAGGGATGGTGGTGGTGGTGACTGTCAGGTGTAGGAGTGGTGGTGGTGACTGTCAGGTGTAGGAGTGGTGGTGGTGACTGTCAGGTGTAGGGGTGGTGGTGGTGACTGTCAGGTGTAGGGGTGGTGGTGACTGTCAGGTGTAGGGGTGGTGGTGGTGACTGTCAGGTGTAGGAGTGGTGGTGGTGACTGTCAGGTGTAGGGGTGGTGGTGGTGGTGACTGTCAGGTGTAGGGGTGGTGGTGGTGGTGACTGTCAGGTGTAGGGGTGGTGGTGGTGACTGTCAGGTGTAGGGGTGGTGGTGGTGACTGTCAGGTGTAGGGGTGGTGGTGGTGACTGTCAGTATAACTGGGTGAGTACACACTCACTAAGAAACTCGATATCATATGCAACAGATAGTCAACAATGGCAACTCATGAACACGCACGTACACACGCACGCACACATACACACACACACATACACACACACATACGCACACATACACACACACATACACACACACATACACACATACGCATATACACACACAAACCAGGAGTCTGGTAGCTGAGCGGACATCGCGCAGGACTCGTAATTCTGTGGCCCGGGTTCGATTTCCGGACCAGGCAGAAACAAACGGGCAAAGTTTCTTTCACCCAGATGCCCCCTGTTACCTAGCAGTAAATAGGTAACTGGGAGTTAGACAGCTGTTACGGAGCTGCTTCCTGGGGGGGGGGGGTGTAAAAAAATAAAGTTGGTTGTTACAGTTGATTGATTGACAATTGAGAGGCGGGCCGGAAGAGTAGAGCTCAACCCCCGCAAGCACAACTAGGTGAATACAGAGGGGGCCTCGCGGCTGAGTGGATAGCGCTCGGGATTCGTAGTCGTAAGGGCCGGGGTTCTATTAGCGGGTATAAGGCTTACCGTGAGCTATGAGACGGGAGGAGAGCCCTCGGCCTGCTAACAGGAGTCAGAAAACGTCTATTCCTGTTTTCACCCGTCTAAAAACGTCAGTCAGACACATAGCGGTGTTCACATCATAATTATCCAGACGTAGAAATTTTTTTTCCATCGAGCGTGGAGAAATAGACGACAGAAGCCCAATAGTCTCTGGTGTTCCGGGTGTTATCAATAAGTGTATATACTTTTATATATTTTTTTGTTATATTTTGCTACCACAGACGTGGCCAGACATTTACAATGCTAACCAGAATCTATACATTTTCTTCTGTCCTCCATGTACAGGGTGAGAGATGTGTTAAAAATATAGTTCAGGGATTTATTGAACAAGCGACCACAGAAGGTGATTATAATGCTTTTAAAATGCTAATCTAACCTACAGACATAAATATACCACTTATATATATATATAATTTATTCAAAGGGAAGGGGATTATATAAAGGAAAGGATTATATATATATATATATATATATATATATATATATATATATATATATATATATAATATAATAATGATATCGCTCCCAAACTATCCAGCCTCTTGAAAAAGGTCAATGACTCCCCCGGAACCATCCAAGCATGGCACAACCTTCTCCTGTTTGGTAACATATGCCTAGCTGTCCCTGCAGGGAGAGACAAATCACTAGCTTCGTCAGTCATTATGGCTATAAATAGTTTTCCTAGAGAGGACAACCAGGCACCCCTCCCCACCCGTACCAAAAACACCCACCGCAGGAAAGGTATCAACAGCAGAACCGAGGCATCCAAAATCAGAGCAACAGTCAGCAAGAAAACAGAAGGCAACACAATAGGGGCAATCACAATCATCACCAGTGAAGACACAGTTGCCACCAGGGATGCCGATACAGCACAAGCCCTGAGGGAAAAACACCCACCCAGAACTCCTCATGACGACAATGTTCCCCTAGTCGGTGTCACCAGAGCAGAACCCCTGTGTGTGCTCGAATCCGTGGTGCATAAAGCAGCTTTATCCTTCCCACCAGGATCAGCAGGTGGGTTCACAGAACTAAGACCCAACCACATCAAACAAATGCTCAACCCTGCAATGGGAGACATTGCACTGGGCCTCCTAGTGGAACTAACTAGAATTGCCATCACATGTCTAGCTGGCAACATATTAGAGACCATACGGTCTCTCTTTTTTGGCGCTACCCTCTGTGCCCTGAGGAAAAAAGATGGAGGAATCAGACCGATAGCTGTGGGCAATTCACTCTGGCACCTCGTCGCTAAGGCTGCTGCTAGAACAGTTAGTCAGGCAGCAGCCGACACGCTGAAGCCAAAACAGCTTGGGTTTGGCATTCCCCAAGGGTGTGAGGAAGCGGCTCATGCAGCTAGAGCCTACATTGCTAACATTACGGATGAAAAAGCCCTGATAAAACTGGACTTCAAAAATGCTTTCAATCTGGTTAGAAAGGATGCAGTACTCAGTGCAGTTCATCACTTTTTTCCTTCCCTCTACCCGTTTGTAAACTCATGCTACAACAAAAATCTAACTCTGCTATTTGGAGAACATGAAATTGAATCACAAGAAGGTGTCCAACAGGGTGACCCCCTTGCTACTTTTCTTTTCTGCCTAGTCATCAAGGAAGTCACCGATAACCTGTCCAGTGAGCTCAACATTTGGTTTTTGAACGATGGTACTCTAGCCGGCTCCCCAGCCTCACTCTTGGACGACATAAGACTAATTCAAGAACAAGGAGCAAGTCTAGGCCTCACCCTGAACTCTTCCAAGTGCGAAATAACCTCCACCAACCAGCACATAATAGAGCAAATAAAGGTTGTTTTGCCTGACATTCATACAACCAACCCTGAGGACAGCACACTCCTAGGTGCTCCTCTTGGAGGGAATGCCATCGACGAGGTCCTTGGAAAGAAGATCACTGACCTGAAGAGGATGAACGAGAGGATTGAAGACATCGATGAGCATGATGCACTTTACCTCATCACCAGATGCTTGTCCCTCCCCTGGCTGACCTACTTTCTTAGATGTTCGCCATCTTTCAATAATATTAAATTAGAAGAGTACGACAGCTTGCTGAAATCAATGCTAGAAAAAGCCCTCAACCTTTCCCTCAGCGACTCACAGTGGAAACAGGTCTCCCTTCCTGGCAGACTCGGGGGCCTTGGCGTGCGCACAGCAACACAAATTGCTGTACCAGCATTCCTGTCCTCTTCAGTGGCGTCTGACAACTTGGTGAAGGAAATCCTACCTGAGCACCTAGGTCAACAGGCAGGAGTACATGATCCCAGCTTCACAGACTGCACAACCAAATGGGTCTCTCTTGCAGGACCTGCACGCCAACCACCGCCTTCTGAAGCCCATAAGCAATCCAGTTGGAATCACCCCATTTATGACCAAGAAGCTGCGACATTACTAGAAGCAGCGACAACACCACATGAAACTGCCGACTTAGAGCTGTAGCAGCTCCCCATGCAGGGGACTTCCTATTAGCAACCCTAATGTCAGCAACTGGCACTCG